CTCCCTCCTCCTCGGAGAAGAGCTCCAGCACGTTGTGGCTGAGGTTTAAAACTTGTAGCTGTGTGAGGCTGAAGCCAGAGATACAGTGGAGGGAATTCAAAGCCAAGTTCAGCACCTCCAGCTCTTCCAGAGGCTCAAAAGTTCCCTCCTGGATCTCCCTGATGTAGTTGTGGCTGAGGTCGAGCTGGCGCAGCCGCGGTGAGCTCCGGAAGGTCCCTGCCTGCAGCTTGGTCATCATGTTCCCAGAGAGATCCAGCACCCTCAGGCTGGTGAGGTTGCTGATGTACCAGCTGGCCATGTGGCTCTCCAGGTTATTCACAGAGAGGTCCAGGACCTCTATATTCCTGAGCAGATGGAAAGCTTCCCCGTTAGCCAAGTAATTCCGGTCCAGGTGGTTTGAGCCCAGGAGCAGCGAGCGCAGCTGAGGCAGCTCAGCCAGGGCGGTGGCTGACACGGATTCCAGCTGGTTGAAGCACACATCCAGGTACTCCAGCTGCCCAAATCCTGGCATGTTGCTGCCTGACAGGTTTTGGATGAAGTTGTTGGAGAGTTCAAGGTACTTAATTCCTTTGCCAAGCTCCTTGGGAAATTTCTGCAGGCCGACTCCTTTGCAAGACACCTTCGTGGGGCTCTGTGGAGAGACAGGAGAGGTGTGAATGAGGAGGGGCTACAAACCACGGCTCCAGGCAAGCCAGCTGCTGTCCAAGATGGGCATGAGAAGTGGGAATGAGCACTGCTCCCCCTTCCCAAGCCCAGCTGGTCCAGAGCATCCCTGTCTAGGCAGAGGAAGGGTACTTTGTAGGCTCCACCTTTCCTCTCACTCTGCTTTCCTCTGGAGCTGGGAACCTGGATGGGAGCAGCTGATGTTTTTCCGGGGAGACAGAAACCTGCTGATTCCCATCCAGGCTCTCAGCTGCCTCACTGGAATCCCTGCACTCCATCCTCTGAGCACCTCAGGCATGGCAGGGACGTGGGAGCAGCTGGATGCCAGGGACCACCTCACAGGAAACTAGCTCCAAGGCAGGAAAACAGAGGAAAAGCTGGGAAAGTTAAAGAGAAGGGGGCTGGAGGGAGGTGAGAGCCACAGGGACGAGACCCAGGGCGATGCTGGCAGCCCCAGCCACGCTGCTGGAGCCATCCCAGCCCAGGTGCTCCTTGGAAAACAGCCTTACCTGCTGGCAGAGGGGGGAGCTGGGCCTGGTCTCGGGGTTAGCCCGGGCTCTGAGGATGGACGGGAGCAGGCAGAGCAGGAAACATCCCCGTGCAGCCCAGAGCATGTTGGGCTGCGGGCGCTGCCAGCCCCGTCCCGCTCCTGCGGTGTCGCTGGCAGGCTGGGCAGGAGCCAGGCTTTGTATAAATAGGCTTCAGGATGGGATGGGGGAAGGAGATAAGGCATGTGGGTGTTCGTAGCTACGGAAGTGGGAAAAGAAAGACATCAGCTCGCAGAGGGGGAAAAACGGCACAAAGCCACAGGGAAGGGAAAGAGAAACGGCAGGATGGGGAGGAGGGAGCTCAGGTGACCGGCTGGACCCGCTGTGACATCAAATGCCAGGGGGCAGAGGTGGCACTGGAAAGCTGAGAGGGTTTGGGGGAGTTTCCCTGTGCCAGGGGGACGATGTGCCAGCTCCCGGGACAGCAGGGGCAGCTGGCGAGGGCTCTGCAGCCATCCTGAGCCAGGGACAGCTCCTGGCTGTGGGATCACCCGCCTGTCACACCCAGGCAGTGACAGTCCCTCCCCATCCCAGCGCAGCCCAGCCGAGGGAACTCTGCCTCTCTCGGGAAACAACAGCTTCCCACGGCTCTTCCCCAGGGATGTGCAGAGCTGGAATCCCCCTCCTCCTCCTCCTCCTCCTCCTCCTCCTGCTGTCACACCCCGTGTCCCCACCTGGGCTGCCGGGTCATCTCCTCGCCCAGGGCAGGAACAGAAGGGAACTGTCCCTGCGGCAGCTCCAGGTGGTGCGCCCGGAGCTGTGCCCCACCCACAGGGACACTTTTTTGGTGATGGTATCTCCGTGTCCTTGTGCCACCTAGTGCTGACACACTCCCTGGGGACACGCCCCCCTGCTTCACGGGGCGCTCTCCAAAATGCACCGTTTGGGGTTTTTTTTTTTGCTCAATGTGGCTAATTGCATGTGAAGGAGCAACTCAGGCTACTGAAAGGATTTCAGCCGCAGAGCTCATGCTCTAATCCTGGAAGTGTCTGGCAGGAAAAAAATAGCATATAGACATAAAATACATAAATAAATAAATATAGATTATTTATATATATATATATATATATATATACACACACAGAGTTACACAACTGAGTTACCCCTCTGATAGTCAGCATGGTGGGGGACACTTTGTCACCTCAGGATGTGACTCAGCCTTGAGCTGGCAGTGTGTCCCCAGCATCCAGGCCAGGCAGAACAGTGGGGACAGGCCAGGGACGGCGTTTTGGGCTGCTGCCCCGTGGTGTACACGGCACATCTGTGCAGATGTGAGCTCCTGCCAGGGAAACACCGACCTCTGGGTGACCCCCAAAGCAGAACCAGCACACCCGGCCCTGCCACGCCCGGGGAAGCCCGGCCTGTGCCCCTGCACACCCCGACTGCTGGACGTGGCTCTGCACGGTGACACAGCCCCTGTCAGCAGCTGAAAAGTCCCTGATGTGGAGCAGGGACTTCTGCAGAGAATCCCTGGGCATTTGCATCCCAGGGCTGTGAACTCCCTTGGCGGGAGCGCTGGGTGTGGATCAGAGCCGGCAAACACCGAGGTTGCTCTTGGATCGTGATAAAGGCAGAGTGAACCACACGGCCTGAGCAGGGAGAAACCAGCTCCCTTGTGCTTCTTGGCCTTCCTGCCCTCCACGCTGGCTCCAGGGCTCCAGCAGGATCGGTTGGAGAAGTTCCCTGCTCCCACTGAGGCTTTTGTGGGAGAAATCTCCAAAGGATGTGAGGAACGAGCAGCAGGACTGAGGTGTGGAGGAAGCAGGGACAGAACCACCTGTCCCTGCTGTGAGTGATGGGCTCCAGCCTGGCTGTTTGGGAGCAGGATACCTGGTTATCCAAGTCCATAGGATCTGCCCTTCCTTCCCTGCATTCCCAGGGCATTGGGCTCCCGAGCAGCTCTGATCGCAGTGAGGGGACCATGGCTCTACCACCCCTGAAGGACGAGCTGTCCCCTCACAAAGCACAGCCAACCCTCTGCTGTGGCCATACAGACCTTCCTTGGGAGCTCCTGGTGTGGCTGGGGAGGGACATCCCACCAGGAACACCAAGACAAGGAAAGAGCTGTGTTTGCCAAGGCCACCTGAAGCCAGACCCAAGTCCACGTCTTCAACTCACACTTTGGATAGTGTGAGCACCAGAAAAAGCCTGTTAACACATTCCATGAAGGAGTTGCTCCCTCCTGCACCCCAAGCATGCACCAGGAAGAACTTCCATGCAGGAACTGCTGTCTCCTGCTCTCATCCAACATCCCGAGTACACACCACAGGGAACAGCAACACTCTGGCCTTTTACAGAGCAAAGGGATTCTCCCTCTGCCTCCCCCTGCCCACAGCCATGGAGCACATCCCAGATCCTGCCAGTGGGGGACAAGGAATGCAAACTCCATCCCTGGCTCTCCCAACCCCCTGTTATTTATGGCTGCCCCCAGCCTTGCTGCTCAGGCCTGTTCTAAAGCAATCCTGTTAACGATTTGCTTCATGTTCTCACTGTACACAGTTGTCCCGCTTCATTCTTGTCACAGGAACATGTCCCTCTTAATCCATTTGAAAGGAAAGAAAACCACAAAGCCCAGTGAAGAGCCCCCAAGGCTCTTGCTCGTCCCACATGTCGAGGCTGAAGGGAGGAGAAGCCACTAAAAAGGCAGAGCAGCCCATTTGTCATGCAGTTGTTTCCCGAAGTGCACGGCTTCTGTGAATAGCGAGGCCGCGGCCAACGCCGCTGCCCCGAGGAATTTTTGTCTCCCAATAACTGCAACACTTGGCAAGGGACATCACTCGCTAGGGCTGGAGCCAGGAATGCTCCAGGCAGGGCGGACCCTCTGTGGCCACGGCACAGCGCTGGGACACGTCCCTCCCACCCCTGCAGGTGACCACGAGCCACCTCTGCATGGAGACAGCACCAGGAGCATGGAATCACAGGATTGGGCTGGGAGATCTTATGGATCACACAGTTCCACACCCTGCCATGGGCAGGTACAGCTCCCACTAGCCCAGGCTGCTCCAAGCCCAGTCCAACCTGGCCTTGGACACTTCCATGGATCCAGGAGCATCTTTCCCTGTGCCAGGACTTCAGCAGCCTCACAGGGAAGGATTCCTTCCCAATATCCCATCTATCCCTGCCCTCTGGCAGTGGGAAGCCATTTCCCATTCTCCTGTCACTCCAGGCCCTTGTGCAAAGTCCCTCTCCAGCTCTCCTGGAGCCCCTTGAGGCACTGAGGTCCCCAAAACCTTCCCTGCTCCAGGCTGAAGATGTCACTGGGATTTGTCCCATTTCTACACAAGCTGCAACTTCACTCCCCTCTTGAAAGCACAAACAGGCTCTGGAAAGAAACACAGGGAAACAAAACCCCAACCAAGCTGAGCAAGTGTGAGCCAAGGGCTGAGACAACAGAGCAATTTGTGCCTCTTATGGCTCAGAGCATCTTATGGCTTTAGGTCTCCCCAGCTGAGGGGAGGTAACGGGACAGAGTTGCTCAAGAAGCCAAAAGAAACAATAGTGTCCCAGCTCCTCTATTAGTCACCAGAAATCAAGTTATGACTAGACTCAGCAGGGCTCAGAGAAAAGAAAAAGTGGTGACTTCATGCTGGACCAGATTTTAAAATCCCATTTTTTTTCCTTTGCTAAAGTCTCCATCACCACTTATTTTAGGTAGAAGGGTGCCAAAAGGAAAGGGGTGGGGAGAGGAAGGCTAAAAACCACATCTAAAAGCAGGACAGTTGCTATGAAAACAGAAAAAAAAATCTCCTGTTTGAATATTTTATTCTTAAACATAACAAACTTCCTCCGAGTGTTGTCACAAGTACTTGTGGCTGCTCTACGTGGCTCGGTGAAGCCTGTAGAAATGTGTTCTGGTTTGCAAAATATTAATTAAAAAGAACAAAACAAAACTCCCCCCCCAAACAAAACAAAACAAAACAAAAAAAAAAAAACAAAACCAAAATACCCCCAACCCAACTCAACTTGCTGTAACAGCAGCAGTACTTGAAGGCAGCCCCCGCTGGGGCAAGGTTACCTCTGGGGTAAGGGCAGGAGCTGAAAGGAGCAGAGGCCTGGACCCGGGAATCGGCGTTTTCTTTGGGATTTGGTGGTTTCTGGAATGTGGAGGCAGTTTCCTATCTGCTAAGCCTGCTCTAGTTACTCCTCTTCCTCTCGCACTTCCTGCTTTTGCTTCCAAGCTCTAGGTCGAGGCACTTTTCCTCCTCCTCCTCCTGAGGATGAATGTAAACACCACTGACCCTGTCTCACGCACCTCCCCTCGCCCTCCAGCTCCCCCTGGGAAGGCAGGGAGCCAGAACTCCCTTCCTGGCTGTGGTTAGCATGCACATGCAGGAGCCTGGCTGGGATTTGGGGACAGGAGTCCGTGTCCTCCCGCTCCCTCCTGCCCGGGACACTCCTGCCAGCGCCAACATCCGAGCAGAGCCCCCAGCTCTCCCAGCAAGCCTCGTGTGAAGGTCACAGAGCAGAGTATCAGTGCAGTAATACTTGAAATACTGAGACAAGGCACACCCAACAGCCTTTCCTCCTCACAACGCTCTCCCCACCAGCTTTTTGGTTTGATCCGAGTCTCCCCGCAAGTCACAGAGGACAATTGTGCTTCCTGCATTCACATATAGGAATAAATAGCTCTGGATCAGTTTCCTTTATGGCCGGATTACAGAACCCCTGAAATACTGATAGGCTTTATGAACAGCAGCACTGGGCAGTTCCGTGGGCGTCCCTGGCCATGCCAAGTTCCTCTCTAGGACGCGGGTGCATCTCCCAGGCGGATGGCCCCAAAGAAAGTCGTGTGCTTGCTCATGTTGATGGAGATGTCAGCGTGGACCATCTTCACAGCAATCTTCTGCCTGGCCTTGAGCAGGCACACGCCAGCCGTGTAGCAGGTGTTGAAGTTGGTCTTGCCGGTCTCGATGCTGCGAGTGCATTGCAGAAAGGGCTTCTCGTCCACCACCACCTCGTAGCTGGCGAAATCGGTGAAGTTGATGTAGTAGACCTGGTGTGAAGCAGGGGGGAGAAAGGTGTCAGGGAGGGGGGTTGGGGTGTGGGGAGCAAGTGCAGCGTCCTGGGGGTGTGTGCAGCCCCTGCTGGCCCCAACACCTGCACTCACAGGCGACTTGTCCCAAACCAACCAGGAGCCTCTTTTATTCCGCTTCAGACTGACCCAAGCATGCAAACGCCCCTGAATCCATGTGCCTAAGGCTGAGCTACCATCCTGCTTATTCCAGGGAAGTGACAGACCTGCACAGAGCCATGCAGGACCCCCTGCGTGCTACAGCAGCTTTTCACCCCACACACAGACACACACATTCCACTGAAGGCCTCTTGCACTTACCTGGCCAGTCCTGCTTCCTGGTGCCAGGAGCCTCCTTTAGTGGTGACATCAGAACTGCCCTAAGGTGGCCTGGGAGCTGCCTCCTGGGTAAATGGACTCGGCGCTTGCACAGGCACGAGCTATTACAGGGAAAAGGCTCTCCCAACCTCCACAGCTTGGAAGGAAATCACCTCACAGTGTTGCTACTGATTGAACTCCCTGACTTCTTCCAAGGCCCTGTGACTCTACTTGCCCTCACTTAACCCTCTCCCACACTCTGATTCCAAAGAGCTGCAGGAGGAAGACCTGTCCAAGGAGAAGTCAGTCTCAGGGAGCTGCTTCTTCCTGAGAAAGGAAATCCAGCCCTTTTGGAGGCAGGAGCTGCCTGAACACTGAATCCCTTTTTGCTCCTTGATGGACCACAAATGATGAGGCTTCCCTGGTCCAACACTGTGGCCAGCAATCAGCATCTTGTGAAACAATTATGCTTTGGCACATGTGGAGTTGTATTTTCTGTCCCCATCCAAACTGGACACGTGTCACCAATTCCATGGAAGAGCACCTGACATCTGTGGCCCGGTTCATCCCAGAGCTGGTTCTGGGGAGGAGCTACAGAGATCTGGGGAGGCAAACGGAGTCACCCGGGCTGGAATCTGGCCAAACCACCTGGCCTGGGAGTCCTGTGCTTCCAGAGTGACACAGCTCCAAAATAACCACAAACGACCAGAGTTTGGGTCTTGTAAAGCACTCAGCGTCCTGCCTGCAGGGATGTTTGGAAGGGCCAGGACATGGATAAACGGAGGGATAACCCGGGATTGGCTGGTGTGGGGTGTGCTTTCAGTGACTAATCCCTGGCGGGCGGTGTCCTGGCGGTGACAGGGGTGTGACACTCCTCCCCACACCCCTCCTGAGCCGAACACAAGCTGCTGGCATTTGTCTGTTGTCTGGAGCCCTCTCGTGGTTCATGCAAGGCTTCCACCGGAACACAAGAATAGGAGGAGTTAGCCTAGGACCGTACTCACTTCTACCTGACTATAGATGAAGTATGTGCCGTCCACCAGTACCTCCAGCTCCCCACTGCGGGCATGCAGCTTAAACACCTTGGGGTTCAGAGTGATGCGAGACCAGTCATTGAGGACTCCACCTGAAAGATCTCAGTATGAGAAAACGGCGGTCACTCAGTACCCGTCAGGAGGAAAAGCGCAGGAGCAACACAAACACAAACACAGTCACAGCACCACGGGGAGCAGGGGGAATCCCAGGATTACACACTAGGGAATGGGAGCAGGGACTCTTCTCTAGCTCTAAACACACACCATGGTTTGTGAGATCACCTGTCCTCCCAGCCCTCTGTGTTCTCCATCTCAAAACCCAGCACAGAGCCTGTTGTGCTCTGCTCATCCCAGGGCTGGACACGGACCTGCCTCCTCCTGACCCTGCAGCTGAGCTTGTTTGATCCTTATTCCCTACTGTGTCCATGGGAATGGTCACCAGAGAACCATCATGGAATGGTTTGGGTGGGAAGGGATCTTAAAACTCATCCCATTCCATCCCCTTCCATGGGCAGAGACACCTTACACTATCCCAGGTTGCTCCAAGCCCAGTCTAGCCTGGCCTTGGACACTTCCAGGGATGAGGCAGCCACAGCTTCTCTGAGCACCCTGTGCCAGGGCCTCTCCACCCTCACAGAGAAGGATTTCTTCCCAATCTCCCAACTAAATCTACCTTTCTTCAGCTAAAAGCCATTCTTTCTTGTCCTGTCAGTCCAGGCCCTTGTCCAAAATCCTTCTCCAGCTCTCCTGGAGTCCCTTTAGGCACTGGAAGGGTTTCCCTGGAGCTTTTTCTTCTCCAGGCAAATGGAGGCCAGCTAAGGGTCACACAATTGATTTTAATTCTGGGGTTCCTTGACTTCACCATTCTCAACTTTGTAATTGGGATAATTATAACAAAACCTTTGCCTTTACAACTCCTAAGGTTTTTAAAAGCCAGAATAACAAGCAAGTAGGAAATTGCATCATATCTCACAACACAATAATCCCTCAATATAGGGATTTATGGATCCACCACCCAGTACTTTGGGATTTACTGGGATAATCTAGGGACAGATTTTGCTATGAGCCCCAAACTGAGCCAATTTCTGTAGGTACCTCAGTTTGTCAAATCTCACTCTTTTCCTCCCAGTCTCTATCTGCCTCTCCTCTCCCTGCTGGATGGGCCTTTTACTTAAGAGTTGGACTCCATGATCCTTGTGAGTCGCTTCCAACTCAGATTATTCTGTGCATCAGCTGGAGCTCTCCAGGCTGGCAGCTGGACAGCATTCCTGGCTCCCAGCTCTGGATTGTTCCTGAGCAGCAGGGAAGGACACTCACAGGGCATTCCCGCTCTTAGAGAGCAGTGTTATCCCTCTGGAAACCCTCAGCATCCCCAGTCATGAAGGGAAAATTGTTTTCTGAACGTAAGCAAACAGCAGCTTTTCCCTCACATTGTTCCTGGGAATGGGCGGTTTCCTCTTAATTCTGGGGAGCTGCAAGCACAAATCCCTGTCCATGAGAAATTCCAGCTGCCACTGCTCACAGGGAAAGCTGCCTTCCCACAGGAGCAGTGGCCAGCCCTCCCCATCCCACATGTGAGGCAGGAATTCATGGACAGGGATCCTGCAGCCCCTTCCTGCTGCCCCCACCCTCAGGAGTCCCTCCCAGTCTGGCACTGGGGTGAGGATGGATGGATGGATGGATGGATGGATGGATGGATGGATGGATGGATGGATGTGGTCCCTGGGGAGCCGCACGTGGGGACTCAGGGAGGGGACAAGCCAGCTCCTGTCCAGCACAGCCAGAGCAGGGAGGCAGGAGGTGATGAATGAGCCCCAGCTGTTGGCAGGGAGAGCAGGAACTTGAGGAGAATTTGGATGGGGGTCTGGGAAAGAGGAGGAGGAGAGTGAGGAGCTGCCTGTGGATGGGAAATGGCTTGGCAGGATCTGGGATTAAAGGCTGTTGGTGGGGACAGAGGTGCTCAGGGGACCTAAGGAAGAGCTGGACAACACCTCGGTGTCCTCTCACCACTGGGTCTTCCCTGCTTTAAATTCCTGGGAAACTGGAGGAAAATGGGCAAATGAGGAAGAGATAGGATGAGGATCCACTGAGGGCTTAAAATAGAATGGGGGGGAAAAAGGCCTGGTCATGGAGCGGCTGGGGAGGCACGAGATGTACCTGGAGGTCAGGGAGAGGGAAATTCAGTGGGACAGAATTACTGGGGTGGGCAGGGCAGGGATACTCTGGGAGATACACAGGAGCTATGGGGAAATGGAGGGGGAAACTCCACACAAGACTCTTCTGGGGCAGTCTGGGCAGGGGTATTGGAGGGCAGGGATGGGCAGGGATCATCTTGGAGCTGTGTCATGGGATGGACATAATTATCAAGAGATCCTTACCATTCTTCACTTGGATTGCTGAGCCTTGGCCTTGGAGATGGACCACAGCTGGCTGCAAGGGAGAGCACAGGGATTGAGGATTAATGGGAAGCACCATGCCAGTCCACAAAAATGCCCCCCAAAGCTGGGTTTTTCCATGGAAAGATCAACCCACCTGGATGTCTCTGGAGCTGGCCTTGTCTGTGGCACCTGCAAAAGGCAATTCCACATCATTGACGAGGGTTGAATGAAAAATCCCATAAATAAAACTTATTTTATCCCAAAAGAACCCTTAAACCCCTTCATAAATAACCTTTTTTTTTAACCCAAAATAACCCTGAAGCTTCGCATAAATCACTTTTCTTACTCTGTAATAACCACTAAACCTCTGTTTGAACAGAAGGGGTGCAGGTAATATTAAAATATATAAAACAGAAATATTAAATATTAAAAATATTAAAAACATAGAAGAAAGAAAAATATTCATCCCATATTTCCCTAGTTTATTCCTGGCATTTCTGTCTAGCAATTTCTGAATTTTCTGTCAAAATTCTTTATTATTCAACAGGTTTTCACTAGAAGGACAAACTGCACAACCCACTCCCTGATCCACAGCAGGAATAAAACCTCTTGGCTGCTGAGATACCAAGCGTCCCTCTGCAGGTCATCCACTCCATCTCCCTTCCCTGGGAGCCAAACCCTAATTAGGGAGGAGATGCCCGTGGCAGCACAGCACGGAGCTGAGGGGCTCCTGCTGCTCCCAGCCATTCAGAGCCACAGAATCCCAGAAATCCAGCATGGTTTGGGTTGGAAGGAACCTTAAAGCCCATCCTGTTGCCATGGCAGGTACTCCTTCCATAGGTTGCTCCCAGGACACGGCCCAGCACACCCCATTGCTGCTCCAGGCCCTGGTGCCATCATACTGGGACACTCTGGTGACATCTTCAGCATTCCCACTGGCCAGCCCGGAGCAGAGGGCACGGATGGATCCTTACCTGAGGGGCCCTGCAGGCCGGGGGGTCCCTGAGGGCCCGGGGGGCCAGGGGGGCCGGGCGGGCCCATGACGGTGGTGCCTGGAATGCCGGGGATGCCGGGAATGCCGGGGGGACCCTGCGGCCCGGGAGGCCCCGGTGGCCCTTGGGGACCGTTGGGCCCTGGAGGACCAGCCTTTTTACCTGGAAAACACAAGGACAGGCCTCACTGGGGCTGCAGGGAATGGGAGGCTGGGGATGGATCACTCCTGGCTCAGCACAGCCAGGGTGGGGGCCTGACAGCTCCACGCCATGAGGACAACACTGCCAGCAGGGCAGGAGCAGGCCCCCACCCTGCAGGCTCCTTCCTGGGGAGAATTACACAGAAACGAGGCATGGGGGCTCTCCAGGGCCTCTCAAGGGATGGAGGCTCTGGGTCACTCCACACAGCATGGGGTCACTCCTCAAGTCCCATGCCCTGGGGCTGGTCACATCCCTACGGACCTGGGATCATCTCTGGATGCAGTCAGGATGCTCCCACAGCACATTCCAACGCACCCAGCCATGGCTGGGCTGTTCTGGACCACACAAACCACTCTGCAGTTGATGTATTTGCTGGGCTTTGATGGAAAACAGGGATAATCTTTCCTACCTGTTGCACATGATTAGGACCGGGAGATGATCCCCATGGCTTGGTCTCCTCCAGAGGGCAGTTCAGAGCTGAGCTCCAGCTCTTCCCCAGCGTTGCTGGAGGAGCCCCTATGCTGCTTGTGCCTCAAAATAATTCAATATTTTGGGCTTGGGAAGGACTAACCCCATCCAGGGGATGGAAACACAGGGGAATTGTTACAATCACAGATGCCAGACTGGTTTGGGTTGGAAAGGACCTTAAAGCCCATCCAGTCCCACCTTCCACTAGCCCAGGGTGCTCCAAGCCCTGTCCAGCCTGGCCTTGGACACTTCCAGGGATCCAGGGGCAGTCACAGCTTCCCTGGGCAACCTGCCCCAGTATTTTACCAGCCTAGTGGTAAAAGTCCTCTTCCCTACCATGATCCTCAAACACCTCACATGTCCCAAGGAAGAGAAATTACACAACAACATCAGGAATGACTCCTACATACAGAGTGGGATGAAAGAAACTCTGCAGGGAAAGCCTGGTCCCCACTCTCCTGATTTTCCTGACAAATTGATGTTCTTTTGATGTAGTTTTTAAAATGCCACTTTGGAACAGCTTTTCTGCCAAGGAACATAAACAGAGCAAAATCTCTTCAATTGCTGCCACAAGGTCCCCAGTAGGACAGAATTAAACTCATATTTAGATGACAGCAGCAGTTGGGGTATGAAATTATAGTTGTTGGAATAGTTTCTGAGCACATTTATGTACTTGTTTCTCTACTAATATCCATCCTTGTAATGGACAGAAGTGTGCGGACAAATCCATCTGTTTTAGCACAGGACTGGGAATCTCTGGATGGCCACTAGCCAGGAGCAAGGACATCAGGGTGGGACAACTGTGGACATAATTTAGATGTGCAGAAAATGAAGTTAAAGTAAGCAGGGGTGAGTAAAGCCACACTGGTATCCTAGAAAAAGTGGGAAAAGGCTTCAGGGAACAAATCTCCACAGCAGTATTTCTCTCCAGATCAGGAGCCATGACTTCCTACCTGAGCTGGCCACAATCCAGACCTCCTCTAATCCAGTACCTCTCTTCAGGATGATGCCCTGCTTTGGAAATGATCACCTTGAACCTTTTTCCCAACACCAAACTCCTCTCACTGACATCTCTACAATCCAGGCCATCCCAAGGGAGGATGCAGCCAGGGAGTTGGGAATGCTGCTGCTGTCACTCCAGGCTTCCCTTCCCAAGAGGGATGCACATCACAGCTGGTTTAATTCATCTGCCTCCAAAATCTGCTCTGCTACTCAGGGAGCTGCTGCTTGAGCAGTGACACAAACGCTCATCCCAGCCACACATTTCTGTGCCTTTCCCTCCTTTGAGGCACTTCAACCATTTCTCTGCATTAACAAACCTCACAAGACATAAGATATTCTGTTTATTATCTGATAGCTCCCTTATCAGGTCTCCAAGGAGGGTCCCAGCACCCAAATCCCAGCCTGCCAAATCTCCCATGTCCATACCCACGGGCTCTGAAACTCAGAGCAGGCAGAAGCACGGAGTTCTCCATAATCCTCACTCATCAAACAATGAACTGGAACTCTAAAGGAATTAAATATGACAATACCATAAAATTAAGCTATTTTATACAGCTGTATGCAATCCAGCTCCACAAGATCCCTCTTCCCCCCTGGAATTGCTCTGGAGGCTGCAGCCATCAGTTGTTATTTGTGGGGCTGACTGAACGTGGGCTGAGCTTTGTTAAGACAAACTTGTCCAACATAAAATTTTACGCTGCTTCTTGGGGTAAATACAAACAAAGTTGCTAAGTGTGGCCTGTTCCCACCTCTCAGCTGTGGCTCTGGAGTTTGCATCCAAAGATTAAACCCATTTGATGTGCAACTGCAGTAGTACAGACATTGAAAACGCAACTGCTCGGATCCTTGGACTTGCTCAAACTCCTGGAATTAAATGTAGGACCCTGTGTGTGGGACCTAAGTGTGGGATTCTAAGTGTTCCCAGCAGTCCTACAGAAACAAGGATGGCATCAGGAACCCCCCAAAACAGGGCTGCCTGAATAACCCAAATCCCAACAATCCACTGCAAACTGCCTGAGGAACATCACAAAATCCACAAAACCTTGAGGGCTGAGCAACACTCAAAAGGGGCTCATAAAATGATAATTTGGAGGTTAAAACAAGGAAAAGCAGAATGCAAAATGTGTTCATGCTGAGTTTGGTGGGTCTGAAGGAGAATCCAAGCTGCAAGTTGGCAGGACTGGGATGAAAGCCAAGGCTGGGAAACAGCAACAGCTCCTGGTATTTGGTACCGACTCAACTCAACTCTTCAACTGGAGAATCTTCAGGATTACTTCTGTACAATGTAATTAACTTCTTTCAGTGTTTAAGGAAGTTTTAAGGGGTGCTTGTGGGTGTTATTCCAGCCTTTCCTCGAGAAGGAACGTGCCATTGGTTTCTCCTTTGTATTGGCTGAAGAGAATTCACAAAGAACAGAGAGGAAAATCCAGTTAAAAGTCAAACTTACCCTTTTTCTTGTTTTTCACTGAACTTGGACCTACAAAGGGGAAAAGAAGAAAGAAAATTAGTGAAATTCAGTGATCATTTCATCAGAGAAAATCCCTATTGCCATTTTATTTTCCAAGTGGACAATGGATGTATTTGTGGCCCATGCAGCAGCACAGGAATGGTCTCAGCTGAGAGCAGTAACCCAAATTTCAGAGCATCACAGAGTGGTTGGGGTTTGAAGGGACCTTTAAAGATCATCTGGTCCAACCCCCTGCTGACTCCTTGTGAGCCAAGTTGTTTAAAAATAAGAATAAAACACTAAAAAACCACAAAAGCAAAGAATTATTCTGAACTGGCTGTTTGAAACAATGGGAACCCAAATCTCCCAAGCATGGAGAGAAAATATTTACAGTGGATCTGAGAAATGACAGGACTTTGTGAGCTGAGGCTGAAGTGTGAAACATGTTCCACTGCTTCCCCAAGAATTCATCATGTATGGAAATTAACTCCAAAAATCCCCAAATACTCCCTTGCTATTCATCAGGGAAATCCCTCTAAAACCTGGGGTTTAGCACAGCAATGACTGAAATCACCTTTAGCTGAGATAAAATTATAACCAATTGAAAGTAATGAGGCTGCTTTGAGTCTGAGGGGGTGGGGAAAGGTAAATTCCCAACAGAAAAGCCACTTCCCCACAGATAGGTAGAGGAAAGACAGGAAAAGGACCAGAGAAATCACCCATCAACTTTACTGATGCCTTTCCAACAGGAATATTGATTTTCCCACATTGAGCTGTTGGGTCATGGGAAAATGATGGTATTATCTATAAAAGGCATTACCTGTAAAAGACATTACCTATAAATGGGAGATTATATAATTTATATAATTTAAGGGAGTAATTCCTCCCTGTGAGGGTCTGGCAAAGGTTGCTCAGAGAAGCGTGGCTGCCCCATCCTTGGAAGTATCAAAGGCCAGGCTGGACAGGTCTTGGAGCAACCTGCAATAGTGGAAGATGTCCCTGCCCATGGGGATGAATAAGATTTAAGATCCACCTAAATGATAATTTCTGCTAATTCACTATTTTAAATAATATTTTTATACTATTTTTTATAATATTCACAGGTTGGACAACACAAGGATTCCTAACAATGCCACTTCAGTATACCACTAGGGAGCCACACCAAATTGCAAAACCTTTTAGGCTGGACAACCAGGCTCCTGATTCTGCACTTCTGAGCCCCACCACTCCTCATTGTAGCCACCAGCCACTGAACAACATTAGAAGAGTGGAAAAAAAATCCCATTTGAAGATCCCAGCCCATCCCAGCCCAGCGAGACGCAAGCGGCTGTGCCTCGGCAGCCCTCGGAGTCACGAGAGTTTATTTCATGTTCCATAGATCCCACCATTAGCACCAGAACCAGAGTGAAAGTACAAATAGCTGTGGCCAGCCAGACACATTTGGGCTGGCTGGATCCAATTAGCTTCAAAGATGACTGGGAGGAATGAGAACCACATGGGATGTCAATGTTCGCAGTCTATATTACAACACACGCATCTGTTCCAGGCACGACAGAGAGAGATGTTATGGATCTGCAAGTGGAGCTTTCGACAGACACAAAAGTATTCCTGACACGAGGGGGGAAAAAAACCCAGGATTATTAAGCTTGGGAGCTTCTGAGTCTCTCTGGGGTTTGCATCTGTTCGCCTCCCGAGAGCAGGGGGGGATCGTTTAATTGGAGCGCAGAGCTGAAGCTTCTGATACAGCAGAATTTCCCTTCGTTCTGCTCAAAATGGGAAGTTCATGAGCTACTGCTCCATTTAGGTGAAAATGGTAATAAATTACTGGGTCTAAGCTGAGGGCCACCAAAATTTCAGATCAATATTCCTCTCAGGTGCTGAGGTGTTGAGGCATAAGGCTTGAAAACTTGCCTAGATGTGCAGAGGAGAAAAATGGTAATTAAAAAATCCTTTCTGCCAGGGTTTTCAGAAGCCACAACCCAATATTTAAACATTAAACTTGTTATAATATTTTAAAATACTTTTCAAAATATTTAAGTTAGTTAAATGCAGTGGTTGAACACACAGATAATATCATTATAATATAATGGATACCCCATTCCCTGGAAGTGTCCAAGGCCAGGCTGGATGGGTCTTGGAGCAACCTGGGATAGGGGAAGGTGTTCCTGCCCATGGCAGGGCAATGAGGTGAGTGTTAAGGTCCTTCCCACCCAAACCAGTCTGGGATTCCATGATATATCTGACCCACTGGTTACCTCTTAATTGATGGTTAAATACCTACAAGTTATGCAAACCATTTATTTACTGTGGCTTTGTGCGGCCCTTGATTCCAAGGTTGGCCTAACACAAAACTCTGTTTTTTCCACTCCAAGATGTGGATCAAAGGTGTATCCACTCTGTTCCTTCACCCTCCAGGAGCATAAAAACCAAATTACAGGATATCTTCTGCTGCTCCAGAGTCTACAGACCTGCCGCCTTCATGGAGAAGGAAACTCAATTGATTTGAAGAACATCTGACTGATAAATATCTCCCACACCTGATTTCAGGGACTTCGCCACGCTGCAGTTGAGGATTTATTCCAGTCCCAATGGGATCTGAGAGCAACCCAACCTCTCAGCTGTTCCCTGGCACCTCTTTTCCCTTTTTTATAATGTGCACCTTTCTGCTCCTCATGAATCCCCTTTCATATCCATCAGGAATGTCCCAGAGATCCAGGTGGTCCCAGCTGCCAGGAGTGAATGTGACAGCCACCCAAGCACAGTTATTCTTCCTGACTTCTGTCCTTCTCCCCACTAATCCCACCTCTCCCTTTCCACATGCTGCCTGTTCTCCTTTGAGGCCGAACCAGGCCCAGACCTTGGGAAGTCCATCCCCCTTCTGCTTTTCCCATCTTTCAACTGGAATTAAATATATGTTTAAACTCTGATCCCTCCTTGAAGGAGGTGTCAGCTCTGTTCACCCCCTTGTTTAGGGGGAGGGAAGTTGGCCAGAGTTGTTAATACAGAAATGGACTGGGAAAGCAGGACAGGCTGGATGGCTTTGAAGGATAATAAGCATGGAATGAGATTCAGTCATACAAAATATACAGTCCCATAAAAAAAAATATATATAAATATATGGGAAATAATAAAGTGTTCTGGTGCATGCTGGAGGACACCTGCACGTGCTCAGCTGCTGCTGCTCAGCCAGGCAAGGCAGAAACACAATCCTAAAATGGGAATAACTCTGGAAAACATGGGGAAATCCTGATGCCACTTAGGGAAGGGTTGAGGCTGAGGAAATCCTGGGAACAGTGAAGTCAATCTGAATCATCTGATACAGAAAGATGAATTGAAATAAGAGGAATTCCACAGAAAAGGTCCTGGAAGGAATAAGAAGTGGGTTCAGATGCAAACACCTCACTTGAAGCCGAGGGAAACCCTTGCAAGAGATGAGTTTTTGGTGTGCAAACCCCCAGCTGTGGCCCAGCCAGCAGCAGAAGACATCTCCCCAGGCTGCAGGGAGCAGGTTCCAGCCCCTGCTCCTGCAGCCATACCATCTGCTGGAGCCATTCCAAGGCCTTCAGAAAAATCCCAGATGGTGATGCAACTCAAGGATATTACATGTGACATGTTTGCTCTCAGCAAGATTAATAGAGTTGACTTTGCCCCCCCTCCAATCTCTCTTTCTGCACGCTACACACTGCTATGATTTACTCTAAATACAGAAATATCCCAAACTTCTTTAGGACATCTGCTGATATAAATAGGATATTAAAACACCCCTGCATTCCCTTATTAGCTGTGTGTGTGGATTAACAAGAAATAGTTTAAATTCCTGCCAAACAGTTCCAACTGGTTTTATGGACGAGAACAGATCTTTGTAATTATGCTGATTTTATATCAAACCTATAAAAGGCTGACCATTATAGGAATCAGCCAAACAAAGGATACACCTAAAGAGGTGCTGAACATGCTGGAATTCCCAGTTGCCAAGAGCAGAAAAAAGCCATGGAATGCCACAAACATGTTTTAGCAGCATGATTTCATTGAGGACACAACACCAAGTGATGTCTTTAAGTTCATCCAGTTTGGGAAAGGTATATGGCAGCAGCCACCAGTTTTGGGTATCCATCCATCCATCCATCCATCCATCCATCCATCCATCCATCCATCGCAGACTGTGCCAACCTGTTTTCAGCATTCATTTGGAATTATTGATCCTTCTCCTATTTCCTAGCACTGAGTTACTATGGAACATCCTCAACCTTCTTCCCTAAGTGTGACACTGGTCTGGGGACATGTAAGACCAGGTAATTCAACTGAGGCACCTCTGTGTTTCCATCTCCTCTCCACCTGGGAGAGGAGAGGATGGAGGTACTGAGGAATTATCCTCATCCCAGGTTACAGACTAGAGACAAAATCGTGGTGATTAATGAGATGTTGGTGCAATCCAGAAACACCACATCACTTCTCACTCCTTCATAAAATAAACATTAAATCACTAAGCCACAGAATCATGGAATGGTTTGGGTTGGAAGGACCTTAATGCTCATCCAGTCCCACCCCTGCCATGGGCAGGGACACCTCCCCATCCAAACCCTGTCCCACCTGGCCTTGGACACTTCCCAGGATGGGGCAGCCACAGCTTCACTGAAATCAATTCCAGCCCCTCACCAACCACACAGGGAAGAATTTCTTCCACATGTCCAAAAACTGCCCCTCTTTCAGTTTGCACCCATTTCTCACTGTCCTCACTGACCATTCCTGATGAGGAGTCCCTCTCTGGCCTCCTTGTACATCCTTTCAAACACTGGAAGTGGTGGAGTCTCCATCCCTGGAGGTGTCCAAGGAAGGTCTGGATGTGGCACTCAGTGCCCTGGGCTGGTGACAACGTGGGGATCAGTCACAGCTTGGACTGAATGATCCTGGAGAGCTTTTCCAACCTCAAGGACTCTGGGTGAAGTCCTACCCATCAACCAACCCCTCTATCCCCATTTTACCAATACCAAAGGTGGGAAGAGCAGCTTGGGTGTTCCTGGAGATTCCAG